CGAAGTTAATGCATCATGAAATACATATATATATATGGATTATTTTCTGCGCCGGGAAAAGCTTCGATTAATTTAGACATTTTCTCGTTGCAACACTTAATGGCTTGTATCGTCAAAACTGATACTACATGACATTTCAATAAACATATTTAATTCTGCACAAATAAATATTAAATTTCCGTTTAACATACCGATGCAAATACAACGTGCAATTTGACATAAGTTATTGCTTATGAAAATTTATAAAAAATAGATAACACAGATGGATGTTCAGTGATTATAAATTGCTAAACTATGAAAATTAATGACAATACAAATATAATCTGCACCAAAGTTTAAACTTGCTGCATGTTATGCAGAAGTATTGTAGTGTCACAAAAAATTTTTTCAAAATTAGAAGCAATTATTCGAAGATAAATAATAGGACTTACATTGAACGTCGATCTTGGCAGGCGAGCTCTCAATCGAGCGGCCGGTCTCCTCGTGTGTGGCCACGCAGACATAGTTTCCGCTGTCCATTCGATGAGCTCTGGTGATATTTAGATCGCCATCAATTTGATGACTCCGTGGATTTGGAGCAAGCGGTTTTCCCTCTCTTTTCCACGAGTATTTGACGAGATTTCTTGGCTCAGCCTCGCATCTCAAGCGAACAGAAAGTCCCTCGACAACCGAATGCTCCGCAGGGCTCACCGAAAAGTAAAGATCACCGTTTTGAGAGACCTGGCCGTGAGAGAATGCCACTGTAAAAAAAAAAAAAACGTTGTTTTGTTAATAAAATAGTTCCTTGTTAGTGACAAAAAACAGCACAAATTTATTGCTTAATTTTAACATTATTATATCAAGATAAATCATTAATTTTATATTTTAAAATTTCCGCGATGTTCTTCAATGAAAAAATTTGAATAGCAAAAATTGTGATTCTAGAGTCATGCTTCAGCACCATTCGCGCAATCATCGGCGAAAAGTGTGTCCATTCTCACTTCAATAATTATAACAAGATACAAATTGATGATCAAATCGATCAAACGAGCAACATTGAGTGCATAGAATAAAAGAAAAAAATATCAGCAATCACATATTAAATCAATAGATAGATATTTCTGCTCGTCTCTCTCTCGAGTGATTAACGCCGTACACAAAAAAAAAGAAAGAAAAAAATAGATGCAGATAAATGTACAAATATAACACATGTGAAAACTTGTGATTCCTCAGCCTACGTCCAGAGATTCATTGCACCGGTTTTATACAATGGCCGCACCGACGTGGATTAAATCCTTTGTACCAGGGCGAAAATCGATCGGTATGTTTCTCTACGCTGCGACTGCTGGCCGAGAACATATTGTATGTACGTGCATCGTACAATGCGCGCTGACTGCACTCGCATTGCTCACCGTCTCTCGTAGCCATCGATCTCGCTAAAGCAACACCGCCGCATCTGCAGAAGCGTCTGCGAATAATTAATCCATTGCGGTCACGATTAAAGCCGCAATAGATGAAATATTATATGTATATATTATGCTCGTTTATTTCAATCTACTTCGCACTAAAATTTCAGATTATGCAGCTGCAAAATTTGTTTTTCCCTTGTGTGGTTGCAATAATTTGCAATTCAAAATTGTCAATTTTAAAACGATGGATAACGATCAAAAGAGTAAAAGAGTGCGAGATTGGATCAAATAAATATTATAATTATTATGATATTCGAATCAATCAGCAATGTGCTTAATAATTTTCACTGTGCTTCCTACATTGAAATTTTGCATTTAAAATTAATTTCAACACTGTGATTTTAAACATATCTCATTGAGTATGTGTACACGCGTTAAGTTACAACACAATATTAATAATATTGTTATACCCGCAAATCCAACAATATGTACGTTCAAACGTTGTAATCTATTTCGATCAATAATAAAATACTTTATCTATATGATCCCAAATACCACGTACTATTTAATCGTCGATCGTTTGCGTTGAGTAACCATAATAGTCATAAATCTATCAGAAAGTAAAACTTTATCTTTAGCTCTTTTATTTATCTTTACGCGGATCTGACAGTCCCCCTATCTATAACAGTGGATCTAGCTATATTAATTTTCTTTGACTTCATACCGCTATAATGCTTCACGGTTTTAAATTTTATAATTGTCGATAAGGCAACACACATCTACGAATTTTAGAAACTCGAGTTTTCTTGTTTTGACTGAAATTCTTACGAATCTTCCCTGAAGCTGCGATAGCGAACGAAATTGCAAAACTTATTTTACACGATCAACATTGACCGATCTTACGAATAATGCACAGTAATTATATACGAATTCGTGCGTAGATTTATGCGTATGCATTTCTACGCCGAGTTCGCAGTCCGTGCGCGCGCAACATCAAAAGAGCCATTGATTCGGACCGTGTCTCGCTGGAAATCGAGTTGCCGCATCCGGTTGCAAAAGGTAGAAAAATACGTTCCAAAAATATCGTCGATGCAGCTTATCATTCGTCGATTTCCATTGATTCACGACGTGAGATCGAAAAAATTTCAGTCACTGCGGCAGGTTTTACGATGTTATCGTGCCTTTTCAACGCGATCGTCAAGCGATATCACAAAATACGGTTCGATGTCAATCTTTACAAAAGTTTATCAGCAAAAAAAAAAAAGAAAGGAAGAGAAAGGGAGCACCGTGTATATCCTAAAAAAAGAATGCACGTTTGTACCAGTCGTCTTGGTTGCCGGTCATGAAACATCCCTGAGGGGTAAACACAACCGCTTTTACGACCTACTCTTGAGATTGGCTTCCTTCCCGAGCCAAACATCTCTTTCTCCTCTCTCTTACTTTTTTCCATACCGACGACAGCTGCAGCCGCACGGCTTTATGACGTTTACACAAGCGACCTGATTTTTCGACATTGCCCAATGCCTGAGTGCATGCATGTGTACGTCTGATGTCTACATGAAATGTCATATAGAATCATCGGCGAACAGTATGATAGTTGATATTCCATGACGCAAATAAATAAACATTAAAAAAAATTTCTCGTGAATACTAAAGACTTATTCAATTGAATAATGACAATTAAAAATGGTAACGGCAATTAGTAAGTATAACAATTAAGAGCAAAATAACATTTTCTTTCATGACTGTTTTTTTAAAACATTCGCTACAAATTTAAAAATTTTTATTGCAATTCCGCAACACATAAAAAATTAGAACTAGATGCAAAAAAATGATTTCTTAACAAGAATATTGCAAGATTACTCAGGCAACTTATTTTTTCGTACTTTACAGTATGCCACGAAATGTCTTATTTTAATTCCTAAATGACTCTAAAGGGGATCATAAGATGATCACAAAAAGTTCTTTCTTTAATGCGTCTCCTTCTGGTGAATCGAAAGCGATGGGAAAGTAACTCGTCTGAGCGCGGATAGAAGGAGTTGTTTTCTCATAGTAGTCTGGGGTAGTTTCGCTAGCACGATTCCCTCTTGTCGGAGCACTTCTTGATTATTATTCGCGGTACACGGTGCACAATCCCTCTTCCAGGCGTCATGGGTCTGGAAGGGAGAACGTTCGTGTCGGAGTAGTGGAACTTGGCTCGTTATGCTATGCTATGGAATTTTTTTTTCGATAACGTTCAAAAGTTTTCGCATTTTCTCGAAATCATCCGTAGTGAGTTTAAATCCGATAAAGCTAGACTCAAGTGCATCTGTGCTACGATTAGAATGTGCTTATAAACTTTAATGACGTTTAATCCTTCGATAAAACATTTGAAATCAATTTACAGTATTTGTTGATGCTGAATCCATGATACATTTCTGTGTCCATCGGTAACTTGAACAATTTTCTCTAATATCGATCACATGTGTACTGGCATTGATTTTAATTGTGTTAAGAACTACTACAATGTTATTATTGTTTATGTTTATATGTTTAAATGTTCAGATAAATCTTAACAAATTGTACCAGCAAAATAACAAAAAAAGTGATGCAAATATGTGTAATGCACGCCAAATGCATAATGCATAATCCTATTGTGATCTCCGCACGACACTGGGTACAAATATAATTGTATTCGCTGTTCTGTCTTCCAGACATTCTAAACACCGTAAAGTTCAGGATGCTTTCGCGACTCTGAAAGTTGCTGACTTCGAAGGGGCTGCGTCGAGACAGAACGCGTGTGTAAGACGCACTTATTAAAACGAGAGAAGAACCAATGATAAAAAGTGGAAGCAAGAAAGCTCGGAGAGCGAGAGCTCAACGAACACTGACGCCCTTTTAGCGAGGGTAAAGTGCAACCACCCGCTCTTGCCCCGAGAAAATGCAAAGAGCAAGAAAAAGAAGAAAAATAGGATAGAACGAATGATGACGTGCTTGAAAACCTTAAAGATACCTGCTTGATGCACCGTCATTTGTTATTTTTTTAAATTCGTTGTTTGAAGCTTAGGCTTATAAGTATATTATTTCACTATAAAGCATAAAATCTATTTTCAATTTGCAGACACAAACAATTTATCTATCCGAAAGACAATACCACACGGTGGATAATTTTTATTATTTTTTTTAATTAACGACTTTCTTTTGCTGTTGAATAATATGTGTTTTACATTCATGCATTGGCATTAAAAATGTTGAAATTTTTATTTTGTTATTCCAGCTGGCTAAACGAGAATCGCTAAAACGATAAGAAATAAAGGTACTGTGCTATAAAGTGCCACAACTATGCAGTGCAGCAGCACTCGACAAAAAATGGGGGAAAAAAAAACGAAAAAACAGACGAAAAGAGACATAAATCTACTTCGCGCTGGCGTGAATCTCATTCACTGAAAACAGTCAAAGAGAGAATCTATTCGACGGAAAAGGGAAAAAGGCGAGATACTGTGTAAGTGTGGAGTATGCCATTTTCGGAGTGTGCATAATGACAACGTGAACGAGCGAATTTCAAAGAGCTGGTGTCGCCAATCGGGTGCCTCTCTCGGCTCTCACTCCTCGAAATATATTACACGCTTCTCGGACTCCATCGCGTATAGGTCATCAAATGCAGACTGTGCTCGTGGCGGAGCATTTTACGCGCTTTGAACCGTGGTCCGACAATCGACGCGGTAAAACGGACCGAGAAGGGGAGAAAAGACGGCGGGAACGGAGAAAGTGTGCATCCTGCCGAAAAACAGTCCGGAATTTCGATATCTCCAACGATAGAGGGTTTATCTTACGATTCCACGGCGTGACAAGGCGAAAGAAAAAACGATAACCACCGGATAAAAAAAAATTCTGTTTCCAAGAAAATTGTGATATCTCGATGAATGCATTTTTTAAACAATATCGATTTCAGATATTTTGAGTCTGCGCCATCAGACAGTCGTAAATAATTTATTTGTGTTTTTAGAACGTATTTTATACTGCCATTAAAAATGTAGTTTTTTCTACAAGGTTCCCTTTAATTTTCAGAAGTTAATGCAAAAAATTTTAAATAAATAAACTTTATTTTTATTTGAAATACAATGAACTGAAAGAATATCTATGAGAAAAGTTTCTTGTATCCAGAAAAGAAAAGTTTCTTGTATCCAGAAAAGAAGTTTCTTCTATTCAGAAACAACTGGATTGAAATATCCCATCTACTCAGTGAGAGCATTCTTATCGCAAATGCAGTCGCAAAAATGAAAATATGTCTGAGTGCATGCGCGTGTCGCCAGAAAAAAGAAATATCGGTTTCGCCTGTGTTACATGCCACCCGCGTCTTTATTAGCTTCTCTCTTTCTCTCTTTGTTTCTTTCCGGAGTCGTTTCAGCAGCTCGAAGGATCAAAGGGCTAATATGATTTCCCTCTCTTTCTCTCGCCGTCGCTCCCCGCAGCGAGACACGCGTACACACCGACAACGCCACGCAATGTCGGAAACGAGAAGAAAACGAGCGAACGGGCAAGAGGAAGCGGCTAATAACGCGCGAGCGAAAGGAAGACGTCCATAGCGCGCCGAGAGTAGCTGCGCGGCGCGTTGAATAACATTTCGGCGTATAAAATAGCCGCGCTCGCCGGCCGTACAAAGGACCCTTAGTGGCGAGCCGTGTAAAAAAGCCGTCGTTCGCGCGAGAAAAAGACGAACTTGACGAGGGACGAAGACGGAAAGAAAGCGAAAGAAAGAGTTGGACCATATTGAGGATCAAGTGCGCGCGGGCGATGCGGGGTACCACGCTCCGGTGTGCCCCCAGTTTCTCTTCAGAGGCACGGGACGTCTCCCGAGTTCCCGAGGCCCCGGTTCTCGTCCGTAACCCGAGACGTGTAATTAGGAGCACCGGACCAAGATGAATGGCCAAGTGGTGCCGGTGAGTGGCGCAGCAGGAACGGTATGAGTGAAAAAGCGGGGGGGGAGGGAGAGAAAGAGAGATAAGGGGACATGCTGAAGGGTGGCAACTACGGGGCACCATAGACGTATTCTCGAGAGTTACCTCGTACATTGCACGCGCGCAACCATCTCGACCCTATAGTGGCCAATATTAGCTATATAGATGTATATATCTAACGTAATACCACACGGCAACCACCTCACCCTCCCGGGATACGCCGAGTCTGCGTACACTCGTCGCTCTCTCGTGTAGGTGTGCGCGGCTATCGAACCGGTTCCTCTTCTCTTTGAGAGGAGGGCCACCGTCATGGTGGAGAGTGGCAGCATCCTTTCCTCTACTTGGACTTGATCTCGGCTTCGAATCCTCGTGAGAGTCCGGAGAGGAATACGCGAGAAGGGGGCAAATTGGCCAGTTCCGACTTAGGCGAGAGAGGATATCTCTTTCTATCCTTGCAACTCTTTAATTAGCATTGCCGACCGAAAGAAGAATAATGCTACGTGAAGAAAGTTGCAGTTTTTTTTTATCTCTTTTTTAATTCTCTTTCTTTTCTTTTCAAGACAGCATATCTGATCTGGTTAGTTATGGTAATTAGGAGTCGAATAACAGATTTGTAATAAATTGTTGCAGTATAAAATAAAAGAATTTACAATAATTCGTATCTCCGCTCGCGAGTTTGATAATAGAATAGAATATTAATATGAGAATAATTGTAACCGTGTGAGAAGCAATTAAACATAATTATCTTTTTGCACAGAAATATAATTGCGTGCGATCTAATATTAAATCATTTGCAAGTAATGCAATATTATATGACTGCTATGTTATTTATGACTATTTCGTAAAATATCTTTTGTAAAATATCAAATGTCAAAAATCAATATATTGTACATGTAAAATGATGTATAAATCGATGTGTCCAATATATCTTTAAAAAGATTTAATTTGTTAGAAACGAATAGATTTAAAAAATTTGCAGGACACTTTGAGAAATCTTTTTATGCATTACGTACAACGTACTCGAAATGGTTAATTATACGTTTAAGCAAATTGGTAACAATGGAATATATTACTCGGTGAATTACGCGATTCTATCGCGAAATAACAACGTGCAACGAGCACGTAACAATGCTCGACGAAACATATCGCGCTTACCGTATCGCGCAGATGCGTTTGCCAGATATACAACCTTGCAAGTTCTTCGCGCACGAAATGATACCTGCACCTTTCCGCTTTCACGATATTCGACCATATAATTTAAAATCAGACCCTGTGTTTCTTGAAATAATAATATTGAGAAGTTTAATGATCGTCGAGAAATCGCTCCGAGGTATTGCCGCTCTAAAACGTACCCACAGGCGATTTATTTCAGAGTTAAAACGGCAACAACGACTTTCCGAGCCGGCCGGCCGGCCGGCCTGCCGAGACGCGCGATTTGGACTCAATTAACTGTAATTACACCGTCGACCGCCAAAAAAGAAAAAATGAAAAAAATCACGCCGTAACCGGTTGGCGCGGACCAGAATCACAGAGCAATCGGCGTCGGATTTCGCGAAAGATACGACGCTACGAAAATTCGATCTGAACTCTCTTCCCTCCGCGTGATTCAACTATCATTGCAAAAGAGAAAGGGATGAAAGAATTCTGTATCAGCGAATCACGCTGATATATACGCTATACTAGTAAATTCGGTGTAGTACTTACACATGCAGAGAAGCAGGGGCAACATAACCATAATGCGCCGCATCCTCTTCGTTTCGTACGAACCAGTTGAAGTGAATACAATTGTCGTGCAAGAGAAAACACTAGTGGCTCACGGCCAGAGTTACGACGCAATCATTTTATGTTTGTTCCACGTTAATTTGTAACGGCAAAACGACGAGCGCGCAAACCAAAATCAACTGAGAACCGACCGGCGTGAAGAGACGCACAACACTGCAGTAACGAACCCACGCTGGACCGAAACGACCCCTGGCGACGACGCTCTGCCGACTTCGTTGGTCAACGTAATTGTCTATTTCACCACCAGAGAACGCAACACGACAGCAGCATTACCAACAAAATTTATTTGTTACTTTTAGAAACTGAAGGTTGTACAACTGTTAATTACCAATTCTTTATCATTGATACATTCTGCATCCACCAATCAGATTCCTGTTTTTTGAAAGGATTACTCAATCTTCAAACATTTTGATCTGTGAAAACTGCATATCATTCTTCAACGGATTTCAGACCGGACATAGTCGGAATGCTCCGCAATAGATTCTAATCTCGTATTTCTGGCGATCGTTATTGTCCAAAAGTGAATTTTGCACATGATTGCGAGGTATTGTAAAGTATAGAACGTTTGTTGTAATGCGTTAACTTAATATTACTATCACTTATATGTTTTAGATGTCGATGGAAATCACCTCCTCACGTTCCAGCTCTTTTCTGATCAAAATACATAAAAAATATTAATGCATTAGGTATGTGCGCATTACTGTTCTACAATATTTCGTCTATCTCTAATATTTAGTAAAAATTTTGAATTTTATTTTTACTTCAAATAATTACTGAAACTAGTTTAATTTAAGCCTTTTAATATTATTTACAATATCGAAATATTTAGCATATTAAACAACTATTGCAACTAATTTATTATTTTAAGCATTTTTAATTTATTAAAATATTTGGAATTTTATTCCTACGGTATGTAACTATTACATGATATTCATGCTAAATTGGTCCAAATATTTTGAAAGTTGCAATTATGGCAGACTGGGATAGATATTTAACGAACTTCAGACGTTTAGATTGTGCATAGTCACGAAGCATTCCGCGGCGAATTTTATTTGTTCCGTATTTCTTGCAATTATTATTATCTAAAAGTGAATTTCGCGCGAGAGAAGTAATCGCGAGTAACGAAGTGTCGAACGTTCTTTGTTATATGTCAAACATCGTGTAAAATTCGCTATTTATTGACATTGATTTCGATATCGACAATTCTAGGTGCTTATCGAACTACATTGAAATGTGCTGTGACAGACTCGACCCTATGTCTTCGCATATTTTATGCGTTATTTCTTCTCCGAGATAAAAGTACAACGGAAACATCGCTAGGTATGTACATATCGTTCAATTATTTGTATTAATTGCACTATTGCAATGTTCGAATGATGGAGAGATATGTAAAGCAAAGGTTAACAAAGATGATCGAATGGCGCTTTGCACATCAACAAAATGGCGTTAAAAACTATGATTATATTATATAAAATTTGAACGAGCTAAAACTATAACTGTTTTGATGGTTTTAAGACAGATTATTAAACTTATTTTATATTTCAAATAAAACTTTTATGCTACAATTAATCCAAAAAAGCGTTGACAATATAATATTAAAAATTGCAACCTTTTCTTGAAAGTTAATGTACCCAAAAAAAATGTATTGGATACTAGCGTCCTCTTAGCAAATATGTAGCTAAAATCAAGAAGTAGTTAATCGAAACAAGCGTAGATGGTAACAGAAGAAGTACAGTTACCTTCCTATACAATATTAGGATATATTCCAGATAGCCAAGTATTAACAATATTGGCAGATTGACAGCAAATCTAATAAAATTTAATTAAATTTGCTATCAATCTGGCAAAATTGTTAATATTTTGCTATCTGAGATATATTCTGATATTGCACAGATAGATAATTGGAAATGTAAATTATGAGATTTGAAAGAAAATTATATGTTTAAAATTGTTTCACATATTACTATATGTACGTTTCTTTATTGTTAAATTTTGTATTGTTTTCAAAAATGTTCATTCTATTGGTGATACCAAAAAATAATATAGTTAATATAATATAGTTTTATGAAAAATTAAGATCAAATTAAATTAAGTATTTATGATAAATTTTTAATCAATTAAATAAAAAATACTTTTTTAAATAAATGTGTTTTTTTAAAAAAAGACATTATGTATTGATATAATTATAAAAATATCAGAAATAAAATCTATAATTTAGAAAATAACTTTCTTTATATATTTCTCACTCTTGCATATCATTTTTATATCATTTTTATTATCACAAATATCAATAATTGTGTGGACTTCACCAAGAGAAAGTTATTCAAAAGTTTTGAAGATTTTAAATGCATTAAAAAAGATGCAAGCAATAATTTAAAAAATATAAATTCTTAATCTTAAATCATTAAACACAATATACGTATGATACAGCAGAATGATGTAGGTTTACATTAGAAGCAGAATAAATGATGTAGTCGCAATTTAAAACATTATAAATGTACATACATGTAATATGTGAATATAACTTTAATCATACAAAAATTATATAAAATAATTTTTGGATGCAAATTTTTAAGCAGAAGATTTTTGATAAATGGACAAACATTCATACAATTTAAATTTGATATATTATTTTCATACATTTGGAGACATGTACGTCGTTGTTTTTCTTGTCGATCATCTTATAATTATTGATAATATTTATAATAACAATCTAAACAGTCACATACTTATATTTCTATAGATCTTAAGTAATTTTTTTGCTTTACATATGGATCTTTATTTTTTCTATCCTATAATCAATCGATGTTTACAATTGTATGAACAATCGATAATTAGTTTGGTTTTTTATGAAACTCCATCGTCGAAGATCTTTTTCAAAAGGTTTAATTATTGATAACTCAGATTTTTTCAAAAATATTACGTAAATTGCTTGAATAAGATTTTTTGCACGCTGATAACAGATTTATCTATAAAAAGTTTACAAATTTAAATGTATTATATATATTTCGAATTAACAATATACGACAATTATACGCTATTTTTTCAATTTTATATACTTGTATCATGATATAACATAAATAATTATAATTATTATATATAAATACCTATTTATGTATTAATAATTATTATATATTATTATATAATATATAATATATTATCATTATATATATATATTTTTTTTTAAATATATATATATATAAATATTCATATATAAATAATTATAATTATAATTACAAATTACATTTCGTCTAAAAATGAACATTTCGTCTTGAAATAACTATGATACAAATGTACAAAACATGAAAAAAAATTGTGTGTAATTTTTGTATATTGTCAGTATATTAAAAAAGAAAAATAAATAGCGGATTTCAATTAGGTATTAATAATCCTGAAAAATTCGCGTATTACAATACTGATTGTCAAAAATAATACGTACAATATATGAGAGGTGCAACCAGGTATGATTTTGTATGTAAAATAAATTCTTACGTGTAGAAAATTGTTGCATGTAAGTTTTCGAAAAAAATAAATTTTTTAAAGTTAAAAATTACTAATGTCTTTTAATAACATATATTACTTTATGTTTATTATATTTTTTGCTTCATTCTTTCTTTTTGCGTATTGTCAAGTAATATCAACAAATAATCTAATGCATGTTTTTTGATAGCGCGCGGGACGGTGTACAATTTATTTAAAAAGTAAAATATTTTACTTTTAAATAAATTTTAAGTAAATTTTTGAAAAAAAGACGATCGACAGCTTTGATGCTTTAACGAGTTTTTCGATATTCAGTGAATTTCTACACGAAAGAATGATACATATGTACATAGCTGCACATGTCTTTATATATACTTTATGTACATGTGGTACATGGTTACATATACATATATACGCATATACCACTTGTCGAAAGAGTTTTACGTTGTATACTTTTTTAATCTGACAGCTAAATCAATTGAACATATTTCATCACTTTTCCAACGTATGATTCTATCTAGATTATTATTTTTTTAATATCATAAAAGTATTTATATTATGTACAATATAGTCATTTCTGTCAAAACAGAAATTACATGAAATCATTAGCATATTGTTAAAAAAATCGTTATTCATGACTATAAAATATTGATTTGAACTATTCAAATCATTATTATATAAGATGGGGCAGAATATAAAATAGTGATTGATGCAAAAGAACGCATAATTATACAATCTTGACAGCAAATTTACATATTCAAGGCGTTGATTCTCCGATCTTTATATTTTACAGTTTAATTGATCTTCACTTCATTAATGTGACTAGTTGTGATATTAATTAATCGATATTAATTAATTTGCACTATCAATCAATTTTGAAGCAATTGCCAAGATATAAAATATTTTTTTAAAAGATCACAATTTGATTGCTTGTTAAATTAAAGATATGTTTAATCTAAATCATTATTTATTGGAAGTAGGAGCTTTTTCACTTTGGCACTGACTACGATAAATTTCGATTCGAGCCATATAATTCGCTATTGTCGATGATATGTTCTCAGGCTTCATTTTTCGATCTTCGTAAATTCACTTTCGATCACCCCATCCGGCACTGTTGTAAAACCAAGAGGAAGTGCCTTCATCTCTCGTTTTGCTCCATGAATTATCAAGGCCGCTACCTCCGCTATCCTAACAATATAATATTGATTCTTTTTACGCTATTTTTCAAGTATTTTCCTTTATTCCATTTTAGTAGCACAGTTAATGTAATATATATTTATGCGGGAATGAGAGAATTATTTCACGTACCACAACATTTAATTGATGCGAAGCGGGCGAGAGGTATTCCATGTTGGTATAGTAGGACGAATAGTTTTGATAGCATTGCTGTTGGGAAGCGGTCGTCGTCCATGCTAATCTTTGATGATCACCTGGAAATCCTCCACCACTCTCCGTCACTGCTGGACTCCAGATACTACTGCTACCACTGCCACTGCTGTACACCGTGCCCCCTAACTATTGAAGAGATGTAACGGGGATATTATTGATAAGAAAAAATGTTTTAAAAGCTTCGAAACATTCGCTTGAAGTAACACAAAACACTTGAATATAAATCGACTTATCGCGTGCATGTAAACGTTATACACGTAGAAAATACTTCTGTATAGTCCATCGACTTACGCTCGGCGGAGTCGTGCTAGCTGCTAACAGCAAACTAGTAGCATTTCCCGCAGGCTTATACTGCGGCGAATCCCTTAAAAGCGCCGGGGAACTTGCCGCTGAGCCGCCGGTGCCTCCACTCCTAAATACAGAGATGCAATAATATATATGCACATTTATTTCACATTCATGCAGCAGTCGATCGCGCCGCAATTACTGTTGTAGACTTTGCACACTTGAATTTTAAATATAAGGAAGCTTGTATCTCATGCAATATACACGTCTCGATATTCTTCGCAACGTATACGTGCAGCGTACGTATAGTTACAATTAAAATACTAATTAATAATTAAATTGCCGATTATCTCGTATGAATAATCGCGTTCCCGCGAGAGATAAAAGCCGTTAGCGCGGGCATACGTCGGGGATAAGTAAGTACTCGTTGAGATAACGTAAAGAAATTAGTGCGAATATTTACAAGGGTGTAGTAGCAGGTACCGCGGCAGCGGGCGTGGGCGTGGTAGCAATTGAAGGACTTTTTCCCGGGGGTGGATTACTAGCCGGACTCCCCGAGGGTTTCTTCGATCTCGGCGCCTTATCTTGCTGCTGTTGCTGCTGCTTCTGCTGCTGGCGACATTTGGCTCTCCGATTTTTGAACCACACCTACAAAACATGAAATTATTCACGTTACGCGATAGTATAATTAGACGTATTTGCACAGCTGCTGTATCGCCATAAACGAGGGAAAAAATGAAAAAAATAAATCGCGCATCTGTCGCGAAATGAATCGGACGACAGTTTTACGTTCCGGCGACGCGTAACGCAAATGTGATTCGGAACGAGTCCGAAGCGCCGCACAGAGCTTTCGCAAAGCTGGCGTAATAGCCAATTATAAGGGAATGCCGGACTGGCACGACTATCAATTACCAATCAAGCTGACTGCAGCAGCGCGAACGAAAACGCACACGCATATCGGACACGCTCGCTACCAGGCTGTCGTTAATGCAACAGAATTACGAAAACCGATTGGAGTATAGGTCGTCCCACACACCGAGCAACTTCTCTGAATAGAGTAAGCCGATTTCGCGTACCAACGGGCTCGCTACGGTTTACGTTCAAAATGTCCACTGGTTTTACACGAACACCTTGTAATGAAGCTGCTAATTATGCTTACACAGACTAAAAAGCGTTCTCTCCGCTGGCGCGCAAATGATAGAGATTACTATTCTACCAATTTCTGTAACTTCCTTTGACAAACGTCATCGAGCATTTTAATAACATTTTTCACAATTTACTTCACCAGATGCACTACAATATATTCTCTCTTTTGCTCTTAACAAAAAAAAAAAATGTATAAATCTATATCTACAAAGTAAAGCTCGGAAACATATTTTGCAAATTCCATTGTTCTGTGACACGTAAAAAAAAATACATTGCCTCTTACAGCTCGTTTGCTCTTCACTAGTGTGTAAGAACGATAAGAAGGGATGAAGCGAGTGAAAAGAGATAGAAGGAGAAATACGACGAGAGAGTGGAAGAAGCCTCGCGCGATCGATGTTTGAAACGGAGAGGTGCGCTTGGCTTTCTACGGATTTTCTGGGGGACGACGTTACAGCTCGCGTTCTTCCATCGAAGAAGTCCGGTGTGTGTGTTGTTATATAGCACACACAAATTCGACTCTTTCGAGAAACATTGTTTAAATATTTTACTATAACATTACATTTCACGTTGATATCGAGAAATTTGGATTAGATATCAATGTTTAATTTGTCTACTGCGTAGAATTTCACAATAATACATTTATGAGATATCAGTTTTCCTTTATTCTTGATTATAAATAATAAGTTTCTTTCGTTCAGTCTTTATACTTGATGCATTTTTATCGTCTTCTTTCAATGATCATTGATCTATTAGTTGAGTAGTAAATATTGTGAGATTAAACAGTACAATGCATATCCCGCATGTTCTATTTATTATATTATAGCCACAGCTTTTTTGTTAGAAATTAGTTTTAAAATATATGATCACCGTGTGAAATGATATTATTGTATTGAATGACGAGAAAACCGGGCTTGGTGACACTACAATAGGCACAGAGACGACCGCGGTCGAAAAGTCATGCAGGGATCCAAAAACGGCGATCGTGAGTAGAGTAGTCTCTGGTTTTGCAGTCGGTCGACGAACGTGCAGAGACTATAGGCCACGTTGAACCCATTCATCCCGTTTACACGTTCGTGGCCAGGTGTGTTGGGCGGCAATTGCGGATGCGATGCGTCTTTTCGGGCTGTGATGAGGGTGTAATATGCACGAACACGTTTTCGGACCCCCGTGGACATCGAACTCGGCACGAGCGAACGACGACAGTATCAGTCGAGCAACGCCATAATGTCAATTTCAAGATATTAATATAGATTTTCGCGGTTTATTATTGCACGGAAAGAATTGCTTGCAATTTTTCATAGTTAAAGCGACCGACATTTTTCGATAAATGTAGCAATTGATAATTTATTTAAAAAAAAAAGAGTACGATTAAAAAATAATGTGCAGATTTTATTTATTAAGTGAAATCGTTATTGTACTTCTCTTACCGCAATCATGAAAGTATAGATTTGAAGGATTCGTGTAGGTATTTGTGAGATAATTCAATTAACTCTAATGAAAGACATTCGAGGAAGAATCGATGCCGCCCGCACTGTCTGCATGCCAACAGTGCGTACCCTCTAAGTAATCAGACACTTTTGCACCCCTCGCAGACATTTACATGTCGCATTTTTTTGCTGCAGTACGGAAATATTTCTTACGTATCTCAAAATTATATATTTTTTTATATATTTCTGGTTGGAGTAATTTATATTACAAGTAAAATACGATATTAAATTTGAATAAATAATAAATAATTTTTTTGAGAGAAAATACACTTCGGAAAGATATCACTAAATTGCTCTGTTATCAAGAATAATAATTTCTGATAACTTACCTGCACTCTTGATTCTGGTAAATTGATTTTCATCGCCACTTCTTCGCGCATAAAGATATCAGGATATTTTGTCTTTGAAAAAAGCCCTTCCAACACATCTAACTGCGCTCGTGTAAATGTTGTCCTTTCCCGCCGTTGTTTTCTTGGATTGCCTTTAATACAAAATTTTTAATACAACAGAATAGGATAGAATGTTTATTTATATATCTTTCTCTAACATATGCATAAAATATTAATATTAAATGTATACGTCTATAAAAAAAGATTTAAAAAGAGATAAGGAAATTCTGTTTCCCGTTCAGAGATAAACAATTAGCAACCAAGAAGGAGTTTTCCCTTTAAATTTTTAATTAAAAATTAAAAATTGCAATTTCATGTGACATAATATCGAAAATTCTTGCAATAAATGAATAAAATTCATTACGTTACAATGTATAGGTCAACTACCTTTAAATGACTAATCAATAATGATTAATAAAATAAATAGAATAAATGAGCTGATTATTAATAACTAAATTAATAATAGTAATAATATTTTCACGAGTCAGAAGCAACTTCCATATATAATGCAGCAGCTTTTATATTAACACGATTAATGAATAATTTTGTATCACACCACATTGCTAACACTTCCATTTAGCAAATGTTCTCCAATTACAATACAGTATATTACAGTTTATTAAAACAATTTTGGCATAAATTTATGTAAAAAACTTTTGCAATAATCTGACATTTCAAATTGTTGCCAATTGATAATATAATTTGATAATATAAATGTACGAAACCTGCAACTTTAAAGTAAAAAAATTACTTTCGACTCGATTTCGGTACTAAAACTAATAAAACAACATGATGGGCACTCACAGTAGTAGGACTCACCGGCAGGTGTACAACCGGGATAGCCGATGGTTGAATGTAACGCCTCGATCGGCGGCATACCAAGCGCGCTCACGTAGGGATTCGTCTTGAGTCCGTAAGGCCCCGCGGCGGACGCGCCGAACGCCGCGGGTCCGAAGAGCTCGGAGGCCGAGGTGGTGGAGGCGGCGAGGCCCCCGAGATCGGTGGCACCGGCGCCCCCGCTGCAGCCGGAAGTACCCCCAAGGCTATTCGGCCACATCACCACCCCCTCGGCCCCCAGCACGACCACCCCCCCGCCGCGGTCTCCCTAAAGAGACGTCCTCGACGTCCAAATTATACGTTTTGCCTGAAAGATGACGAGAAACAGAATCACTATTGCGTAAAACTGTGTGGAAGATTTAGAAAATATTAAGTCAACAATCAATATAATTAAAAAATATACATATAAAACATTCGCGTAATAATGCTATTGAAGACAAAGTTTCAACCAATTATTATGTCACCTATTTTTATAATTTTTCTTGTTACAGAAAAAGAAGGATTGGCTCAGAACGGCGTATACTTCGCAAGCGTTCTCGCAAAGCCGAACGGTGTTAGTGTGTCCTGTGTTAGTTTCCGCGACGTACCGGTTATCGAGTAGATCGTTCTCGAAGAGGAGAAAAATAGACGGCGTTTTAAACAAACACGAACCGATCGCGTTGCCGCCCAGCGTGGAAATAAGAGCGACGCGGTGGGCAGCTGCGCGCGGGGGATAATCCGAAGATGCAACAGGACTCCGAGGAAGGTGTATCCCCAACTCTTCCTCTCAAGGGGGCCACAGCTCACAATCTAATTCCGAAAACGCCTCGTCGGCCCGAAAAGCGAGAACGGCGAACGAGAATGTCGAAAGAACCGATCCTGAAGACGTGCAACACGCTCACAGTCTTAGTTGCTGGCTTAAGTCGCGTTTTATCCTCTCCGGTTACAAAGTCAGGAACAACGACTATTGCTCCTCCCCGACCCTGCTCCTGCCCTGCACCATCACGGACGATCTACCTTCTCCGGTGGTGGCGACTCGTTAATTTGTTTGCCGCCACGTTTATTACATCTGCTACGCTACGCCAGGCACATCTGCGATATGGCCGCACAACGATCGAAAGCGTATTGTTTCCTGCCTCCCGGACGTCGCCGTCCACATGTCTCGGATTAAGGAATGCTAATCGGTAAGTAATTAACATTCTCATCGTGAAAAAAACAATCGGATGACGATAGCATTGCGAGCGTCACGACGAGTGTCCCCGAGTTAATCATTTTTATCGAATGCAAGATGTAGGACACTTGGCCGGCTTTATATAAATACTCACATTTTTTATCATATTATATATGCACTGTAACGTTGATTGCATCCGTGCTCTATTTTCCGAACGTTGAATTTTATACAACGGCGCAATTTACGCGTCTCAATTTCAACTGAGAAAGCTGAGGGGGCTTTCAATATCTTAGTTACAAGTTTTATATTCATGCAAAAAGTAGAAATCTTTCTACTCACAACGACACTGACTCATTCAACCAACATAGACGTGAACGGTTGATTCGATGGTGTGTGCTTGCGAAATGAAATCTTACACCATCAAGCCGTCTTTAATAATGTATTGTTCCGTGTCCTCTCTTAACCGCGCGCTATATTGAAACTAGATTTTACTGAATAGAACCGCGCCATTCGAAATGCCTCTTCAGAATACTAATAGAGCCGCCGCAACGCGAGTCTTTTCGCGCAAATATGGATGAAACACCCACCCTCGTGCTTCGTACCGTATGTTCATCCGCAATTGAAATTTATGCTCGACTACTACCGAAATTCATTATATGCCGCGATGTAACTACTGGTCACGTAATACGCATAGATTCGCTTTATGACATGCGAATCGACGCATTTTCACGATTTAAATATATTTACGATTTCTTCCGTAAATAAATGCTGCACGTTCGCGAATTAAAAGATCTTTTAATTTTACAAACTAAAACGTTAAAGTTATTAGAAAATTGAAATTATTTACTTCATGCAATTGGATACGGCATATTGCAATTTACACTATGAAAGGAATGAAATTTCATGGCGATAAAATAACATACTTCTTTCTCCGGAGTAGTATTTACGTAGGATGCTTCATAGACATTACATCGCTCGATGAAATTACGAGTACTTAATATCGCAGATGCAAAAGGCGAGTTCTCGCGCTGTATTGCGTTTCTAATATTACGTCTCATTACGCTCGCGCGCAAATTTCCTCCGATCCCCGGGACCGGAATAAAGTTGCCACCCGCTGAAAAAGAATCCATAGAGTATACACTATCCCGTGACGCTGCCTCTCGTTCCGGCTATATTAAAATTTTGCTCGCTATGAAAGGAAGGGCGTAGGACGAAGAAAGGCGGAGTAGTCTCTCGGGTCCTCCTGAAATCAGTCAGGCGCGAATCTCCACTTTTGTGCACTTACGCGCCTCGTACCGGCCACAAAGCACTTGTTACATGCCACCCAGCGTGAGCAAAAAACCCCGAAAACAACTGTCACTTTCGGAAACTTTTTAACAATGTCTGCATTGCGCACCTGAACGCACACTGTCACGACATAGTCTTTCTTATTTCTTTTTTTCAATTCAATAACACAAGTTTTTTATAGCACAACTAAATTGCAAATTTATCGTTGCACAAAACTATAAAGAAAAGCTTAAATGTATTATATATTTGTATGTGTACATTATAAAGTTCAATTTAATCTTTCTTTAATTAAAATATTCAACTATTTCTTCGAAAATGAAAGATCGATCGAGTTGTATTATCGATAAAGCGACACGTTTATTTGCACTTTTGTCATATTAAGCTGCGTTGCGCGAGGAAGTTAGAGAAAGAAATAGAATGAAAGGGAGAGAGCGAAAACGGGCACTCGAGGATCCTCTTGTTGCAGTGGCCAGAAGTCTCTTTATCTTTGTGCACTTTGGTGCACGGGACAATGCACTTGTTACAGACCGCCAAGTGTGGACAAAATGCCCAGGCCGCCACTCGATTGGTCCTCGAGAGCACTCGAGTAGTCTACGATCCTGTGGAGAGCCCGAGAGAAACGGTAGGACTAGAGAAAGATAGCGAGGGTGCCTTTTACACTCCCGCGCACTCCCCCGACCCCCCTGTTCGACGAATCGATCTCCCGCTGCAACGCGAGTCACTCCCCACCCTCGCCCTTCGATAGTTCGGCCCTAATGCAAACACTTTGCGTTACCAATCGACAGATATATACCGACATGCCGTCCCTAATGACTGTTAAATCCCCATTATTACGTTCCACGTGTATGTGCTGCGCGCGCGAGAAAGAGAGAGAAAGAGATTTGCTCTCTTGTCATTGAAAAATTCGATTTACGAATGTCCAACAGATCATATCTATGCGGATCAACTGAATCAACGGTGTATGTATCTGCGCGGATATGCGTTTCGCTTTTGCGTCTTAAATCCGCAGCAAATTCCTATGATGTGAGGAGTTATTTATTCGTAAACGTAAAGGAATATAATTTTAACTCTGTAAGTTTTACTGAAACTGCAGCTGAAACTTCCCAACAATCCGTCCTCGAGTTCGCGCAGTGATAATTCGCGGGAAAATTATAACGTAAAGAGAAACTCGCGCAGATGCGGTTGCGAGAAGATGCACACATCGAAAACAAGTCGTAGCAACCGAATTCATCGCGGGGGATGCAACGTCGTTTCTGCATTAGGTAGCGCGGTCTGCGGTTTCGGTACATCCGACGGTACACGAAGAACGACACACTACCAGAGCTATCCCAGAAAGTTAAGTCGCGGCCGTATTGTTTCCAGAAGTATTTGCGCACAACCGCATTGTTCCTGAAGAGCCCGCCCCCGTGGCACCACAATGAACGTATATGTACGTATGTTGCGTGAAGTGCAGCCATGCGCGCGCGAGTGCCGGGAGGAAAGTACTTATGAAACGAGCGAGGCATTAATTCCGCGGATGATTTTTCGAGATTGCGTCACTTCTCCAAAGTTCTTGCACAAATGTGCACATGCACTCCCGTCGCGATAATTTTGCAATCTTTTCCCGTCAGATACGTGTTCATTTTCGTTATTGAGAGATCTGTCACTTGGCATTCTCAGTCGCATCATCCGCAATGAAATCTTTATTTCTACTGCAAGATACTACATCGCGTTGTAGCGAGGCAAATTTCTCATGATTTACTCCACTTTAGCGGAAATATTTGTGATATTTGGTTTACTCAGTGGAAATACAGGAAACTTTATATATCATAAAATTAATTAAACTGTCTAACAACGCGCAGCTGCGTCGAGCTTACAGTTGAATTCACGTCGTGCGTAGCTTTTCAAGAAATAATTACCTCGGCATCGAGCCTAAACTATTTCGCGAAAAGATAGCTTAGCGTTGTCAAGTCGCACACTTTGTATGCAGCCCGGATTGTAGTCGAATACCTTTTTTCAAGGGGCAGCATGCCATGCGCACCGAGTCGTGCACGAGAAAACGTCTCTACGAGGAGTCGCATTGAATGCAATCTTAGCCCCGGGTATACGGCGTTTGTTGCGCGTTCATTGAGCGTAAAACTTAATTCCCGTAGAAATTTCACGAGGTATACACGGGATATACCTCCGCCGGGGGCTTGTTCTCCGGTAGTTAGTCTTTATTCTCGACCGACGAAAAAGGAAATGCCAATGGGGGTTGCGTCCCGCCGCCGACGGGGATGAGCCTCCTTCGTTTCGCCGTCTCTCTCCTCCCTCTCTCGTCTCCACCTGCCTTCATTCCGCTTCATGCTTCTTTATGTTCCGCTCTGACGGACGGTGGAACTTACTGATTCCTCGGAGCCAATTTCGAGAAGGTTTTGTTCCCCTCGGGCCGGCGTTCACGGTTCTATGGTGGCCACGTCAATCCTCCCGTCCGAGGCACGGCGCGACATTGGGACCCGTTCGCACGTGATAACATCGGCCAGGGATTTTGAGAGACTTGATGCTTCGAGATGCTTGATGCCGGAGACGAGATTGAATTCGTGGCAGCAAATCGGGAGCGCGACGACTATGGCGTCTCTAAGATCTTCGTTTAAAAGGGCGGGGCTTTTAGGCGATGTATATATATTCTGATTTACGCGTGAGTTTATATTACGAATCGATCATGAAATTAAAATAATTTTTCACTTCATTGTACCGCGACACCGCGACATCAAATCTCGTTGTGAAAAAAAGTATTTGTTAACATACAAGACAAACTTTGTCCTCGCATGCAGACTGTCCGTCGTGGAAGCCATGGAAACACTTGACAATTTTGTTGTTCGGCTTCTGCATCTCTTTCTTCAATATTTAAATAATCGTATAACTGAAGCGTGTGCTTCGGATTAAATTATTTTATTTTTCAAAATTATTTTTTATTATAAACCCGAATGTAAATTAATATAAATGCAATCTTTTTATATACTTAAAAGATTTTTTCAAAAAGTCGCGAGTAAATTATTCCGATTCACTCTTCGCAAGTTATTCAAAACTTTTTGCTCATCTTAGAATTATCATCATTCGAATGAATTTATTATCGACGATGCACTCAATTCGTTCCACCATGTTTTTCTCGGTGTGCAGGAATGTCATTGGTTTCGTATTTATTGCAAAATTCCAACGTCACCTTCGTCTCGATCTAATATTAACGTATCTTTACATCCGTAGCAATTATATTTTTTTTGCCTATCGAGTAGTCAACACCGCATTTTTAAATTTCCAACCAGATGCAAATCCAGAGAGTGACATTTACAAACCAGACGATAGTCGCCTTTTTATACAATGATGATCAGACAGTAAACAGATTAGATTAGATTCTTAAATGACGATTCATATCATGTTATATCTTGTCTCTCGATTCGCAATTTTCATGAAATGTGTCATTATAAATGTAAATTAGATCGGTGTCGATCGAAACTTCTTCGACATTCTTCGACATAATGTCATCCTTTTTCAGTCCCATCACTTGTTCACTAAACCTTCGAAATTAGGACCAGTTGTCATTATGTCACATTTTTTACGACAGTGTGCACGAAAGTTTTTTGTGATGCGCAAAATCACCATGGTATCACTGTATTCGCCACTGAAGAAGCACGCGCCGCTTCATTGCGGACTCGATCGAACGCGTTCGCGACGGAGTTTCCGTATTAAATTTGAAGATCGGATACTGAC